TAATCCCCACCTCTACACAATATAATGAATAAGCATGTGTATTTCCTGAATATAAAATTTAAAAAGGAAAGTTAAAAGATGATAAAGCGGTCAATTTAGAAAGAGAATATAAATTGTAAATGTCTATACATTCAACACCAGCACACCCAAGAATAAAAAGCAAACATTAATAGATCTAAAAGAAGAGACAGACTGCAATACAAAAATAATAAGGGACTTTAACACCTGAATCTCACTTGATTATCCAGATTGAAAATCAATAAAGAAACACTGGAGTTAAACTATACACTAGACAAAATCAGCCTGTCATTTACAGAACATTTCTCATAACTACTACAGAATATACATTTGCAAGAACACAAAGAACATGCTCTGAAACAAACCATATTTTAGGATACAAAACAGTCTCAACAAACTTTAAAAAGTGGAAATTATATCAAATATCTTTTCTGACCACAATGGAATAAACCTAGAAATTAATAACAAGAGGAATGGTGGAAACTACAAACACAAACACATGAAAATTTAAAAACATGCTCCTGGCTGGGCTTAATGGCCCATAATGGCTCATACCTATAATGCCAGCACTTTGGAAGGCTGGGGCAGGAGGATCACTTGAGCTCAGTTCAAGACCAGTCTGACAACATAGTGAGACCTTGTCTCTACAAAAAAATAAAAAAATCAGCCAGGCATGGTGGCACACAGCTATAGTCCCAGTTACTCAGGAGGCTGAAATGGAAGAATCACCTAAGTCCAGGAGGATGAGGATGTGTCAAGTGGTGATCATGTCACTGAACACCAGCCTGGGTGACACAGTGAGACCCTGACTCAAAACAAAACAAAACAAAACAAAACAAAAAGCTCCCGAATTACCAGTGGGTCAATGGAGAAATTAAGAAGAAAATTTAAAAACATGCTTAAACAATAAAAATGGAGATATGACATATCAAAATCTATGGCATACAGCAAAAGCAATATAAAGAGAAAAGTTAATAGCGATAAATGCCTACATTAATGAAGAAGAAAGATTTCAACCTAACAATATGCCTCATGGAACTAGAAAAGCAAGAACAAAACAAATCCAAAATTAGTAAAAAGGAAGAAATAACAAAGATTAGAATAGAAATAAATGAAATCAAGGCAAAAAAATACACTCAATGAAAAAATAGATTTTATGAAAAGAAAAACAAAGTAAACAAATATTTAGCTAGACTAAGAAAAAAGTGAAGACCCAAACAAAAAAAAAAGACATTACAACTGACATCACAGAAATACAAAGAATTATTAGAGACTATTACGAACCATTACACTCCAAAAAATAAAAAAACCAAAAGAAATGAATAAATTCCTAGGCATATAGAACCTACCAAGATTGAACCATGAAGAAATATAAAACTTGAACAATGAGTAACAAGGTTGAATTAGTAACAAAAAGGTATCCCAACAAAGAAAAGATGGCTTCACTACTAAATTCTACCAAATTTTTAAAAACTAACTAATATCAATTCTTCTCAAACTATTTGAAAAATCTGAAGGGGAAAGAATTCTTCCAAACCCATTCTATGTGTACAACATTAATCTAATACCAAAACCAGACAAGAACACAATAAAAAAAGAAAATAACAGGCCAATATTTTTAATGAACACAGATGCAAATATCTTCAACAAAATACTAGCAAGCCTAATCCAACAACACATCACCCCCAAAAAAATACACCATAATCAAGTGTGAATTACCCCCAGAATGCAAGGATGGTTCAACATACAAACATCAATAAATGTGATATACCACATCAACAGAAGGAATGATAAAAACCATATGAAAATTCTAACAGATGCAGAAAAAATATTTAATAAAGTCAACATCCCTTCATGGTAAAAATTCTTCAAGAAATTAGGCATAGAAGGAACATACCTCAACACAATAAAGACCATACACGATAAATACACAGCTAACATACTGTATGGGGAAAGGCTGAAAAGTTTTCTTCTAAGAACTTAAACAAGACAAGGATGCACACTTTTACCACTATCATTTTTAATATTAGAAGCCTTAGCCAGTGAAATTAGTAAAGAGAAAGAAATAAGAGACACCCAGATTGGAAAAGAGGTTAAATTCTGCCTCTTAGCAGACAACACTAATACACACACACACACACACACACACACACACACACAGGGTGCCAAAAAATGTATAGTCATTTTTATATGTATAATAACATTTATATTTTATAATATGTATTGCTTTCTGAAGTTGACTTAAATTATAGTAGCAATGCTTAGTATGATATTCACTCAACCATGCTTCTGCTTTTTTTTACTGTCCTGCCTGTCACATGATGATACTAGCATTCATTTGATTAACTCCTTGTTTTGAGCAAACATCACACTTAAAATGTGTATACATTTTTTGGCACCCCTGTGTATATAGACACATACACACACACACACACACACACACACACACACACACACATATATAAATTAAGGACTCCACAAAACAAGTCTTAGAACTGATCAATAAATTCAGTAAAATTTCATAATACAAAAAACCCCCAAAAATCTGTGGTTTAAATTCATCTGTACACCAATAACAAACTAGCTGAAAAGAAATAAAGAAGACAATCTTATCTACATAGCTACCTAGCAATAAATTTAACCAAGAAAGTGAAAGACTGCTACAATGAAAACTACAAAATACTGATGAGAGAAATTGAAGAAGACACAAATAAATGAAAAGACAGCCCATGCTCATAAACTGGAAAAACTAATATTCTTAAAATAACCATAGTACTCAAATAAATCTTCTGAGGAAATGCAATCTCTACCAAAATACCAATGACTTTCTTCTCACAATATAAAAACCATCCTAAAATTCATGTGGAAAGACTCCAAATAGTCAAAGCAATACTGAGCAGAAAGAACAAACCTGGAGGTATTATACTACCTGACATTGAAATATACTACAAAACTATAGTATTCAAAGCAGCATCCCATGTATTTACAGTCAACTGATTTTTGACAAGGGAAAGGACACTCTTTTCAATAAATGGTGCTGGGAAAACTGGTTATCCATATGCAGAAAAATGAAATTAGACCCCTACCTATCAATATATTAAAAAGTCAACTCAAAATTTAAGACTTAAATGTAAGACCTATAACTACTAGAAGAAACCACAGGAGAAATGTCTTAGAACATTGGTCAAGGTAAAGATTTTATAGCTAAGACTCCAGAAATATAGGCAACAAAAACAAATGCAACTATATTATACTAGAAAACTTCTACACATCAAAGGAAACAATAAACAAAGTGAAGAGATAACATACAGAGTGGGAGAAAATATTTGCAAACCATTCATCTGACAAGTAATTAATATACAGAATATATAAGAAATTAAAAGAACTCAACAGTAAAAGAGCAAATAACTAGATTAAAAAGTGGGTAAAGGATCTAGATAGACATTTCTTAAGAGAAAACATACAAATGGCCAAAAAATAGTTTAGGTGTTCTCAATATCACTATCCATCAGGGAAATGGAAATGAAAACCATAATGAGATATAATTTTACCCTACTTTTAATGGATGTTATCAAAAAATAACAAATGCTGGCAAGGACACAGTGAGAATAAAGTATAAATGTAAATTAGTAGAGCCATTATGGAAAACATTGTGAAGGTTTCTTGAAAAACTAAGAATAGAACTAGCATATGATGCAGCAATGCCACCACTGAGTATTTATCCAAAGGAAAGGAAAGCAGTATATCAAAAGGGTACCTGTACTTCCATGTATACTACAGCACTATTTACAATAGTGCAATGGTATCAACCTAAGTGTCCATCAACAGACAAAGAGATAAAGAAATTGTGGTATATATACAAAATGGAACACCATTCAGTCATTAAAAAGAGTCATCTGAGGCAAAATGGAGTCTGGAAGACATTATGTTAAGTGAAGCAAGCCAGACAGAGAAAGATAAATACTACATGATCTCACTTGAGCTTAGAAAATTGAGTTTATAAAAGTAGAGAGTAGAATTGTGGATATTAGAGGTTAGGAAAGGTAGGAGGGTGGGGAGGATGATGAAGTTGGTTAGCAGATATAAAATTACAGCTAGATAGAAGGAATGAGTTCCAGTGTTCTGCAGCACAGTAGGAATAATAGGGTTAACTATAACATATATTTTCAAAAAGCTAGAAGAGATGATTATGGGTGTAAACAACAAAAAATGATAAATGTTTGAGCTGACAGATATGCTAGTTATCTTGATTTGATCATTACACATTATAGACCATATCAAAATATCAGTCTGTGCCCTATAAATATGTAAAATTGTTGTGTCACTAAAAATAAATGAAAAAAAAAGGGAACACATGAAATCTATTTTAACAAAACTTGAGAAATAAAAATAATAATGGAAATAGTACAATCTTAGCTAGTTCCAAATTTAAAAGGAAAGTAAGGGATTATTGATGACTGATCCAAACCCAATAATATTATTAACCTTATTTTACAGATTAAAAAACTGGGTTTGAGAGAGGATGAACAATCTGCACAAAGTCTAAAGTATGTCGAAAAACTGGCAGTCAAACCTAGAGATCTCTCATTAACTCTGAAGTCTACATTTTTTTCCTAACATGTTCACATACAAGTGATTTATGTTCATTTAAAACAGGCACACTTCATCAACATTCTCTAGCAAGATTCTAAAAACCATGTGCGGGGGTTGGAGGGAAGAAAAAGAAATATAAACTCACATTTTCTGTTTATCTCCTTTGTTTCAGATATTGTCCAAAGTCTTTTATTTACATTACATACTGTAATCCTCACAACCACCCCAGGAACCTACAGCAAGCTCAGTGAGAATCAGGTATTCAAACCACACATTTAATTTACTAAGTTGCTTTTGAAGGCCAGTATTCGTCTTTAATACTATTAAGCTGTTAAAAGTAGTGTGTTTTACCAACAGCATCAGTTTATCTGCTTGATTCACTCACTTACTGAATGGTTCTTTTCAATGGCACAGAACACGACATCCATACATATGAACACCCCTGTCCGGCCTACACCAGCACTGCAATGAACAACCACAGGTCCTGTAATGTGGCTCTTCCTCACATAACGAGCATATTTTATGAAATAATCTGCTGAGGCAGGAGTGCCATGGTCTGGCCACTTGGTGAACTGCAAGTGTTTTACAAAGTGACTAGCTCCTGTCTGAAAGAGAAAGAGAGAGAGACAGAGACAGAGACAGAGACAGAGACACAGAGAGAGAGAGAAATATCAGGGATCCATGTCAATTTCTAATATATCAACAACAATAATAACAATGGCCATACTGTATAATACTAACATTATATAGAGCTTTCCAAGAGTACTTAAACTTCGTTTTGATGTTTATACTAATTCTGGAGGTTTTTCTCCATTTTACAAAGGAAAGCACAGTAACAATAATAAGAATGATACTAACAGGTAAGAAAAATTGAGTACTATGTGCCAGGTACTGTTCCAGTGACTTCACATGAATTACCTCACTTAATCTTCACACCAACTCTGTGAGCAAGGCACTATTTTATCTCCATTCTCCAGGTGAAAGAGTAAGCATGAGGGTAAGTGAGAAACATCCACTAAGTGAGAAGGTTCACACATTTAGCGCAGGAACTATAATAAAAGTCTCCTGAATCTTAATCTACCATCTTTCCTCTGAACCATGAGACTGCAGGAAAACCAAGATTTCAAATACTTAGAGTAACAGATAAGCTGACATGTTAGGAATAAGATCAAAAGGCAATCTATCTTAGCTTAGATATTATATACTAAATTCATTTAAAATAGGTGGGTGCTAAACAGGGAGGCAACAACTCTTCTGGCTATGAGGACAAGGTATATAATGATCATGAGAATAGACTGTGGTGCCCACTATTGTGCTGAGCACACTTGGAGTCATGAAACTGTCCTCAGGGATGACAGATAAAGCATGCTGAATTTACCTATATCCCATTCAAAGGGATCTCTTCCCTCAGTGCAGGGCCTTCATCGTACTGCACTTAGGACTCTCATGGCAAACTCAGAATGGATTTCTCACTCCTCCTCTCCTTTTCCCTAATGCACCTTTCCCCCTAAGTTTCCTGAATAAATATGTTAGTGTTCAAGCCCTAGTCTCATTCAAAGTACCTACTGACATCTGTGATGGTTAATTTTATGTGTCAACTTGACTGGGCCATAGTACCCAGATATTTGGTCAAACATTATTCTGTGAAGGTAATTTTTAGATGAGATTAACATGTAAATCATCAGACTTTGAGTAAAGCAGATTACTATCTATAATGTGTGTTGGCCTCATCTAATCAGTTGAAGGTCTTAATAGAATAAAGACTGACCTTCCATGAACAAGAAGGAATTCTGCCAGCAGACTGCTTTTGAACTCAAACTTCTGTTCTTCCCTGGGTCTCCAGCCTACCATCTCACTCTGAAGATTTGCCAACACTTCACAATTACTGGAGCCAATTCCACAAAACCAATCAATCTCTCTCTTTCTCTCCATATCTATATACACATCCTGCCAGTTGTATTTCTCTGAGAACCCTAACTAATACAGAATTATCCACTGATTTATTTAGTACAATTTTCTACCTAAAAATCATAAATCTAGAAAACCTTCAAGTCACTTTTATTATTGATAATTTCTGTATTACTTATTATTTCTATAGCACTTGACAGCAGCAGAAATGACCTCAGATCTATAAATAGCAGTGGAGATATTATAACTAAAACTTCATTGAACTTAATACCAAACAGAAAATTCAAGTTTGAATCATCGGTATGTGAAATTGAATGAGAAAAACAATACTTGAAAATCTTGTGAGGGCACTAAGTTGAGGACTGCTATCACTACATCACATATTTCAGGTGTGAGATCTCTCCTGCCACCACTGCCCACTGAGAATCTGCACAAGGGTGGGCCTCTCTGATTTCCTCATCCAATGCCATGAAGATGGAATCTCTGAGGCAGACTCTAACCATGGGTGAGAACACCATGGGTCTGAGGCTTGTGAGCCTCAGCCCAAAGGCCACCCCTAGACCTCCCTTGCCAAGGTTCCCCAGGTGGACCTTGCAAACAGATAATTGCTCTGTGCCTTTCACCTGGTCTATATTTTCTAAGTACACACGTCATTGGGAATAAACTTGTTCAGTGTCTCCCTTTCCCACTAGACTGTAAGTGATTTAAGACTGTATCTGTCCTTTATCTCCAGGAAAGCAGAAAAAGCATTCGGGGCACTCCTTGCTGTCTACTTCTTTGTCTAATTTATTCTTCCTTTTCCTTGTATAAAAAAACCTTCTTTCTTGTGAGTTTCAAACCTCTTAGTTTTACTTTCTCATTGTTATAAACTTCCTGGGTCAAGCCTCCACATTCACTGAAGATCCTAGCCTTCTCCCTACCACAGATTCTGGCATCCTCCAAGGCAAATTCAGTGTCTCAACAGCCCAACACTCTAATCTCACAACAGTTTTATTTCTCTTTTCCAGGGAAGACTACTTTCTTTCTTCTAGTACCCACAATGATAACCACTCCTTGGGTTACCATCATCGATAATGTCTAGTATCAATTTTCCAGTTCTACAACTCGGACATCAGTTTCTGACCAGAAGCTCTTATGCTACCACCTTATTTGTGCTTCACTTCTACAACAACATGACCAACTGGAGCTCTTCAGTCTTTGCACCCTCCATTTGACCCTAGTTACCTGGCACCATGATCTCATTTATATCTCTAAACAATTTAGACTTCATGCCTGATTATATAAATCATTCTCTTAACTCTCAATTTCTTTGATGCTTTGCATCTCACCACATGTATTAGGTGACATCCCACCCTAGGTCAGTCCCATAATCTATGTTCAGGGATCCCATAATTATGCTGCTGGAAAGAAAATAATCATATGTTGCATATTTTGTTACTATTGCAAGTGTATGGGCCCAATCTCAGCAACCCTTTTCCTAGTCATTGTCTATGTTCCAATCAATTCTTTGGTAATGACTCCAAAACTCACCCCTTTCTTCAAGCTTTCTGCTAAATTCCAACTCCTTTCACTCCCAAGGAGCATATGTATCAACTACCTGTGAATCCAATCCACTAGAGCAATATAATCTAATAATCTTCTCCTGTAAACCATTCCTTTTCTATTTTCCAAATCTATTACAGCAATAAATCCATGAATTATTCTGGACCAAGGCTTCCCTAAAGATGGTTCTACAGTGATGCAAATATTGGTTTTTTTAGTGATGCAAATATTATAAATCCATTCAAATATGGTAGTTGCCAGTAGTATGTGACTAATAAGCACTAGAAATGTGGCTGCTACAAGAACTAAATTTGTTATTTTACATAAATTTAATTAATTTAAGTTTAAACTTAACCACATGTGGTTACTATATTCAATAGCACAACTTTTAACCCCTCCTCTGTCACTTACAAGCCAGAGGTCAGAAATTACATATAAGTCTGTCAATTTTATCTATGTAGCACCTGTGTCTATGCTTTCCTCCCTCATGTCAATTACCCTAGTTGATCATGCCACTCCCTTACTAAAAATTATTCAATGTATCCCATTACCGTGATAATAAAGTTCATGTTCTTAGGTGAAATATAAGACATTTCAAGTTTTACCTGGTTTCTGTGCACTTTCTATAGACTCATCTCATCTCTCATTCCTCCCTGGCATTGAATTTTTATATTCTAGAAACACAACTACTTACATTACACTATACCTACACCATATTATTTTATATTTTGATCATCTACTTCCTCCTCCTGTTTTTCTCACTGAGCAATTCTCAAACCAGATGTCACTTCCTTCTGTAAGCCTTCCCCCAAACCTCATGTACATCTAAGTACTTACCTTCTGAGCCTCCAAAGTATCCCATAAAGATTTCAACATTACCACTGAACATGATAACTGAGTTATCAGTGAATGTACCAACTTCTCCACTACTCAGTGCCTGACACAGTGACTCAATTCATATTTGCTACACTTGGCAGAAACAGCAAAAGTACATCCAAGAATCAGACAACTTCTAATAGTTACCCTCCCCACCCCACCTCTCCTTTCCAATTCTTTTTCTTCTCCCCAGGCAGAGTCTTGTTAAGCAGAAGTAGAAGTGGTGGTGGCTTAATTTCTGGTACCAGGAGAGGTAAAAAGTTACTTCACAAAGTATCTTCAGTCTATTTTCCATCCTACTCCTAACTTATAGTCCTAACATATTTGCTTGTGTATACACATGGGGATTTAAAAAAACTTACAGATTTCTCCACAACTTGAAACATTCGAATAGTGAAATATCGAAATATCTGGTAGTTCTCCAGGAAGATACGAAAGTGTCTCAATTCCAAAGGCTTCTTCAGGGAAATGGGCCAGTAATGGTAGCATTTGATAATTCCACCTTCTAGCTCTCTGGTAATCATGGCAATAACATTAGAATTATTTTCCGAAACCATTTGCCAAAAGTCTTCTATGGTGCCTGGCAGTGGTCCTTGGGTAGCGATATAAAAATACTCTTCTTCAGAATTGACTATTCTAATATGACTAGCATTGATATAATCCTGATTGTTTCCAAGATGAACACGTGTTGAATCATCTATTACAGAAACAGAAACACCTGGTAGATAAAAGGCAGGAGAGGCAATATACCCAGACTTCATGAAAAAATTTCACACAGGTGAATCCATATAACCCTTTGACCAATAGAGAAGTTGGCAAAAAAAACTTCCTTTCAAAAGAGTTATTTGATTACATTGAGTTTAAATTCTTCTCTCCTCAGAACCTATTGTCATGACCTAAGACATATACAATCAGGAGTGGTTTTTTTTTTATTATCATCTTTAATACATACAGAAGGATGACATTAGAATCTAGGCACTTTGGAAAATTTCTGTTATAAATGATATAGGCAGGATTAGGCCAAGGAAAGTATCTACTAGTTTGCAACGGAACATAACAAGGCTGTATGGGATTCTACAAATGAATGGCATTCTACAAATCTAGGAAATCTGTAAAACCTGAGCAGTAGGACCAGGGTTAATTTTTTTTAAAAAAAAGAACTATGGGCCAGGCTTGGTGGCTCAGCCTGTAATCCCAGCACTTTGGGAGGCCAAGGCAAGTGGACTGCCTGAGTCCGCAGGTTCAAGACCAGTCCCGGCAACTTGGCAAGAACTCATCTCTACAATAAATCAAAAATCAGCTGGGTGTGGTAGTGCATGCCTATAGTTCCAGCTATTTGGAAGGCTGAGGTGGAAGGATCGCCAGAGCCCAGCAGGTCGACACTGGGGTGGCCTTGAGTGTACCACTGCACTCCAGCCTGGGCAATAGAGTGAAACTCCAACTCAAAAAAAAAAAAAAAAGAACTGTGATAGTTGATTAGAGACAAATCCTAGGATTAATGACATTTCACCAGTGTCCGCCCCCCCACAAGATAGCCATCCTCAGACTTCACCTGGTGAAGTGGCATCAGCATATCAAAACAAAGGTATTGTGGCAAAAGGATGCTACCAAGGATATTTACTTCAAGCAACATGGGACTCATCTAATGTGAACTGTTACAACAAATATGAGAAGGAAAAATTAGCTACTTGGCCCACTAATAAACTTCACTGCCCCAGGAAGTCCTTTTTCCCTTGACACAGACATCTGAAGTGCTAATTCCACCACTACCATATGTTGAGAGCAGAAACACACGCAATGTGGGGCAAAGGAGGGCCCTTCCCTGATAGGCAGCTCTCTCACCAATAGTGTCTCCCTATTACTCAGAAACACACGAACTACTTTTCTAGCAAATGTGCTGTGACAATAAGGATTGAACAGGAACTTACACAATTTCTGACAGAACCCTTCTCAAATTCCAGCATAGCACAAAGAACCCTTCCTTTGTAAATATAATATAAATTAATAGGAAAAAGACTTCTAGATATACTCATATAATATATAAGGATAGCCAGTATTTCCAAAAGGGAGACCATTCTAAAAAATGTGTTCCTTTCTATAAAAGGTGAGAACATCATAAAAACTTCTATTTGTATTTTAAATAAAATTCAAGAGAACATTATTTTATATTTTAAAAGATAATATATATACATGCTTGTTGACAAATATATTCTATATTATTAAATTATAAAGGAGGCAACATAGATGATATATATCACATAATAGCAATAATCCTGGCAAGTATCCATCAAAATGCTAGCAGTAGTTATTTTATTATTTAAATAGTGAGTATGAATTACTTTATAGTAGAAAACCATTTGTTTATATTTGAAGAGATTAAACATATGAAAATTTATAATCTAAAATAATAAAAGCTTGCTTTAAGATAAAAAACACTATTATTCCATCCAAACCCCTAAAGGAGGAAGTAAATAGAAAAACAAATTAGTGAGTTAGAAAATTGGCTTAAGGAACTTTCCCAGAGCTCAGAAAAGAATATATTTTAAAAGATGACAATAATGATTAAAATGCCAAAGGACATATAACATACAAAGGGAATATGGAAGAGGAATTTCAGAAGCAAACTATGGAATACAGAGTGGGAAACAGCCCAAGTAATTATAGAAAAGCTTCCTAAACAAAAGCATGATCCTCTATATGCATGACCTTGTCAACTTCAAAACAGTCCTTTGAAGGAGATGCTATTATATTCATGCTTTTTGGATAAGAACCTGTACAATGTAATTTCTTCCCTACTATGCAGAAATATGTTAAACTTCATAGCCCACGTAAATGTAGACTCCAGTTCAAAAATAATTCCATGCTCTGTTGCCTCTCAAGGAAGACTTAAGTTTGCAGATGGAAAGGCTTCACTAATTAATGGAAGCCACTAAGACCTCTAGACCAGCAGAACATAAACAAGGTCACAGAGAAAGAAAATAAAAATTATGCCAGTGGATCACTAGGGGTAATGATAACTGGTGCCACTCTCACTTCTGTCTCTTGATTCTTGAATCCCAACTATGGCAGAAATAATGTATATTGGACACTGATTTAGACCTCCTGGAGAATATTACCCCAGCCTTGCAAGATACTGCCACCTAGCTGGCACCAGAATTGAGTTTTCAAAAGACCATTGAGCCATTCTATCATGTTAGCTGCTTCAAGATGATAAGGAATATGTCAAGAACAGTGAATTTCATGAGCATGAGTCCACTGCCACAAACCATTTGCCACAAAGTGAGTCCCTTGGTCAGAGCAATACTGTATGGAATACCATGGTGGTGGATAAGGCATTCTGTAAGTCCATAGATGGTAAATTTGGCAGAATTATCCAGGATAATTGTCTATCCTAGTGAAAATAAAACTGTTCATTCTATGATGGTAGTAATCCCATACAATCAACTTGCTATCAGATAGCTAGCTGATCATCCCAGGAAATGGTGCCATATCAGGTACTTGGGGTTAGTCTATCCCACTAGCAGACTGGGCACTCAGTAGTGGCTATAGTCAGGTCAATCTTGGTGAGTGAAAGTGCATGTTGCTGAGCTCATATGTAACCACCATTCTGCCACCATGGCCGCCTTGTCCATGAGACCCTTGGACAATATAGGGGTGGCTGGGAAAATAGTCTGAATTATATCCATCCTATCCTCCTGAATTTTAAAGTCCTCCTCTGTTGGAGGTTACCTTTTGGTGCACATTCACACAGGATACAAATATCTTCATATTTTTTGCCCATTCCGCAAGATCTATCCACATTCCTCTTCCTCCGATCTTCTTGTCACCAATTTTCCAAATATGTTTCTTCCAAGTTCCTGACCATCCAGCTAAGCCATTGCCCACAACCCATAAATAAGTATATATTTATACCTCTGGCCATTTCTCCAAGCAAGATGAACAAACAAGTGCACTGCTCAAAGTTTTGCCTATTGGGAGTGTTTCCTTTCATCACTGTCCTTCAGAGATGTCTCCAAAAAGGGGCTGTAGTGCTGTAACTGTCCCCTTCTAAGTGTGCCTGCATATCACACAGAACCATCTGTAAACCAGTCCCAAGTCTTCTCCTCTGTCAACCAATCATAAAGAATTCCTTATGAGGTCACAGGTGCAGGCTGGGAGAAAAGAGGTAACGAAGCAGGACTAGGGACCATGGACATTTGGGTAGCTTCTTGATGTACCTTATTTGTGCCTTTAGGACCTGCTTGAGCCCAATCTTGTATTTACCATTTTCATTTGATGATGGAGTGCTGCTGTGTATATTCAACTTTATGGCTTTGTGGCCCATAGGTAAACATTCTCTACTTAGTTCTCTACAAAGTAGTCTCTACTAAAGCCCTATAGCAGGCCAAAAGCTATTTCTCAAAAGGAGAGTCCACGGGATGGCAAAACTTTGTTCCAAAATCCAATGGGCCTGTTCTACGACTCAACTATAGAGGCCTGCCAAAGGGTCCAAACAGTACCCTTTCCTGCCACTGACACTTCAAGCAACATTGAATTTGCTGGATCACATGGCCCATATAGCAGAACAACTTGCACAGCAGGCTGGACCTGTTTCAGAGCCTTCTCTTGTTCTGGGCCCCACTCAAACCTAGCAGCTTTTCAAGTCACTCAGTAAATGGGCTGAAGTAATACATTCAAATGAGGAATAGGTTTCCTCCAAAATTCAAAGAGGTCCACTAGGCATTATGCCTCTTCTTTGGCTGTAGGAGGAACCAGATGCAACAGTCTATCCTTTCCTTAGAAAGGGTTATCCCAACATACTCCACACCACTGGATCCTTGAAAACTTTACTGAGGTAGAAGGCCACTGAATTTTTGTTGGACATATTTCCCATCTTCTCTTATGCAAACATCTTACAAATAAGTTTACAGTATTTGCTACTTCTTACTCATTAGGTCCAATCACCATAATGTCATTAATGTAGTGGACCTGTGGAAGGGAGACATAATCAAGATCCCTGAGAACTAATTTATGACATAGGGCTGGACAATTGACATACCCCTGAGATAGGATGGCAAAAGTATATTGCTGGCCTTGCAAATGGAAAACAAACTGCTTCTGGCAGTATTTATTAATAGATACGGAGAAAAAAATAACAGTAGCTACATACCATGTATGAGGTAAAATGTTAATTTTCTAAAGCAATAAACCCATATCTGGTATAATAGCTGCAATTGGAGTTACCACCTGAATAGCTTACTATAATCCATTGCCATTCTCCAAGGACCATCTTTTTTTCTGTATTGGCCAAAGAGGTGAGTTGAATTTGGAAGTATAAATCACCACCATTTCATCCTTTAATTGATGGTGTCACTAGTATTTGCAATCTCGCCAAGAATGCGGCATTGTTTGTGATTTACTATTTTCTCAGATAGAATCCATTCGAATGACTTCCACTTGGCCTTTCATACAATAATTACCCTTACTCCACAAGTCAGGGAACCAAACGTGGGGATGTACCAATTGCTGAGTAAGTCTATACAATTATATATTCTAGACCTTGGGAAACACTAAAAGATGAGTTTAGGAAGCTTCAGGATCCACTGTGAAATTAATTTTCACTAAAACACCATTAAACACCTAACTTCCATAAACCCCTACTTTGGTAGACCACAGTGATATTTTGGGTCTCCTGAAATGAGTGTCAATTCAGAGCCAGTGTGTATTATTTTCTTTTTTCCAATATACAATCACCTGGAAAAAGGCTATAGGTCTCTTTGAG